GCAGCTCGCCGTCCCCTCCCTGCCCCAGCAGCGAGCACAAACAGCCCCGCAGCCCGCATTCCTCTCCCGCAGGGCATCCAAATGTCCTTTCTCATGACCTTTCCATGACTGCAGCATCGCGGCGGCGCCCACGTCCCCATCCTCAGCCCTTCGGGTCGCTGGCCATGCAGTGATCTCCCAGCTAAGTGCCCCTCCGGCATGGAGGGGTACCTCATAGAATGGTTTGAGTTGGAAGGGACCCTTCAAGGCCATCTGTCCCACTCCCTGCACTGAACAGGGACACCCACAGCTCCATCACTGCTCACAGCCCATTCAGCCTGACCTTGGCTGTCTGCAGGGACGGGGCACCACCGCCTCTCTGTGCAACCTGTGTCAGCACTTCGGTGAACTCGTTTCCCAGCCCCGATCATCCCACAGCACCCAACAACCGAGCCACATCTCCATCCCACGGTGCAGAATAAAGACACCTGCAATCTCCCCGCAGAAGCGAGATGCTCACCTAAGGAAAACCCAACAGCAACCCTCAGCAGACAGCCCGGGGGAACCAAACCCCCCAAACCATCACCGCGGAACCTGAAGCGGTTCTCCTCCCTCTCCTTTCGCCCCACGTTCGCCACGAAGCCCGCTGTCCCCGCACTCACCGCACCGCACCGCACCGCACCGCACCGCCGTGTCCCGCGGCCGCCGCCTCCGGGCACCGCGCGCATGCGCACAGCCCCGCCCCGAACTGTCCCCGCCGGCCGGGAAGTGCGGCGGAACGCGACGCAGGGAGAGACGCGAGTTGTGTGTGTCTGTGCTCCTGTGGGTGCCGCTTCGAGGGTATCGCTTTGTTTGCTTGCCCCGTGACGTGTCAGCTGTGCTCCCAGCTGCACTGAGCTGAAAGCTTGGGATACTTTACACCCTGAAATGAATCACCCACTTCCCTCCCCCGTGGACAAACCCCAGGCGTGGTTCTGTTTGCTCTGGAGATTGCTCCCAGCAGGTTCCGACTCAGTTGGGCCAGGTTGAATTCACCCTGTCCGGTCCCCATCCTCAAACAGGTGTCTGCAGGGGGGTAAAATGGATGGGAACCTCTGATTTTGGGGGTGGGAGATGCTGTTCACCAAAATGGTTTGAGTTGGAAAGGACCCTTCAAAGCCATCTGTCCCAGCGAGCAGGGACACCCACAGCTCCATCAGTGCTCATCCAGCCCGACCTTGGCTGTCTGCAGGGATGGGGCACCACCGCCTCTCTGTGCAACCTTTGCCAGTGCATCACCACCCTTATTGCAAACAACTTCTTCCTTATATCCAGTCTCAATCTTGCCCTTTTCGTTTGAAACCGTTCCCCCTTTTCCTGTCACAGCAGACCCTGCTGAAGAGTCTGTCCCCTTCTTTCTTACACCCCTCCTTTACATACTGACAGGCTGCTCTCAGGTCTCCCTGCAGCCTTCCCCTCTCCAGGCTGCACAGCCCCAGCTCTCTCAGCCTGTGCTCATAGGAGAGCTGTTCCATTTTTGGGGCCCCTCTCTGGATGCTCTCCAACAGGTCCACATCTCTCCTGTACTGAGGACTCCCCATCTGGATGTTCGGTCACCAACCAGCCGGAGGGAAGCACTGAACACAGTGGATTTTACCACCTTCTGCAGTTTCTATCACCACGGACCACAGTGCACAACCTTGGACTCAGGGCTTTTCTGCCTCGTGGAGGCAAGCATACACCGTCATATGCATACACAGTCAGATGAGAGTTACTAATGTGCTTTCCTCACATTGCCACACATGCAACTTCCCAGGCCAGGCAACCACTTCTCTAAGCAATGACTGAGTGTACAAACAGGAGGGGGAACGGCTGTTTACAAGGGTGGATAGAGATAGGACAAGGGGGAATGGTTTGAAACTGAGACAGGGCAGGTTTAGGTTGGATATGAGGAGGAAGTTTTTCCTCCAGAGGGTGGTGAGGCACTGGCACAGGTTGCCCAAGGAGGCTGTGGATGCCCCATCCCTGCAGGCATTCAAGGCCAGGCTGGATGTGGCTCTGGGCAGCCTGGGCTGCTGGTTGGTGACCTGCACACAGCAGGGGGTTGGAACTGGATGAGCACTGTGGGCCTTTTCAACCCAGGCCATTCTGTGATTCTATGCTTGGGTCTTGTGGCTGAGGGCTGGGGTCACTCCCAGTAAGTGGGATCCCATCCCTGGTGGGTGCAGAACGACAGTGCTTGGTGTGCAGATGGGTGATTTCCAGGCTTGTAGCAGGGAAGAAAATGAGGAATAAAAGGAGCCAGCTGTCACTGCCTTTAGTAACAACCAGAACTCATGATAACAGATGAGCAGACAGAAATAGCAACGCGAAAGCTCCGGGGATCTATATTTGGGCTATTCTGACCTCCCTGGAAATGCAGTATTTATTATTCATTGCTCTACTTTGCTTTTGCACAACAGGAGAAGGGAGCAATTCAGCCGCAGCATCCTGGAGGCACTGGGGGAGCTGAGCATCGAATTCAGGACCCCAGGAAGACTTCATCAGCTGTGTAAACACGGAGCTGCACCCACTTGCACACACCAGGCTTTCTGCTCTGGGAAGCAGAAGGTAGCTATGAAGCATCCCAACATACTGAAGGTCAGAGCCTTAACTTTTTACTTCCTTGCCGTGCTCTCCTAGTGAGATACAAGCAGCTCTCAGTGCACTGAAGTAAAGAAATCCCATTAAGATGCACTGATAGCTATTTTACATGGTTTGCTTCCCAGGCATAAACAAGAGAAAAGGAAAAAAAAAAAAAAGCCAGCTTAAAGATTTACAGAGCGTGTGGGAATAATAAATACTGGAAGAAAATGAGATCAGAACTACCTGAGATGATGCAGATTTGAGTGGGTGACATTCCCTAGGGGGAATGGTTTTAAACTGAGACAGGGGAGGTTTAGGTTGGATCTTAGGAGGAAGTTTTCCCCCAGAGGGTGGTGAGGCACTGGCACAGGTTGCCCAAGGAGGCTGTGGATGCCCCATCCCTGCAGGCATTCAAGGCCAGGCTGGATGTGGCTCTGGGCAGCCTGGGCTGCTGGTTGGTGACCTGCACACAGCAGAGGGTTGGAACTGGATGAGCGCTGTGGGCCTTTTCAATCCAAGCCATTCTATGTATCTGTGATTCCCCCACCTATGGCATGTGAATAGGATTAGGATAAGGGTTCCTCCAGTGCTGGATTGTGTCTCCCATATTTGGTCCAGTGTGATGAGACTCAGAATGATCCTCCACTTGCAATCACCAAACCCATGATTGGAGTTCAGCTCCGACTGCTGCTTCACTCCACTGAATTCGGGGTTCTCTGTCTGCAGGTTTGGAGCTGTGGTTTGGAGCCTCCCCCCTCCAGGGACAGCAGCTTGAAAATTGACTTCTGGCTTGAGAATTGGTTTTGAAAGAAAACAAGGGAAAAACACCGAGTCTTGGAGGGACCATAGGGTTCCCATAAAGGGATCTCAGAATCCCTGAGCACATGAGATGTCACAAAAATGCCTGCCTGGATATTATTTCTACACCCACCCGTGATTTCTTCTGGGCTTTCATTCATTTCCCTGTGAGCTCTGCAGCCCTTGCTCTGCATGCATTGAGGTGCTTGATTCTGGTTTATTGTTATCCATTGTAAATCTGGAGTTTCTGGATCTAGGACAGGGAGAGCTGCCTCTGCTGCAGCCTCCATCCCTTGGCCTTCCCTGCCCGTTTTAATGAATTATTCACACGGCAGTGGCTGGGCTGAGGCAGTTGCTATAGGGCAGGCTCATGAATAACAACAGGCGGATATTTTTAGCCCTAACTCTTATTACCGTGCTGCCCTTTGTTCGCAGTTAGCTCTGTGTTTTCAGCAGGAGGAACCCTGCAACACTGCCGAGGGCTGGGACTCCCTTTGGACTGACACATTACCACTTCCTTCCCAGTTTATGGGATGGCCATCTGCGTTCTCCTCGCTAAGATCTGGTGAGTGGGGCTGGGGGCTTTTTGTCACTCCTCTCTGCTGTCCCCACTCTGTCACCTGCAATGAAATTTATAACATCATAGAATGGCCTGGGTTGCAAAGGCCCACAGTGCTCATCCAGTTCCAACCCCTGCTGTGTGCAGGGTCGCCAACCAGCAGACCAGACTGCCAGAGCCACATCCAGCCTGGAAACAACATGAAAGAATCTAGCAGAAGCAGGATGCACCTCTAGGAGGATTGGTCCTAAAGCAGCCACATCAGTTAATAACCGGATTTCCAATCACTTTAGGGGGATCTTGTGCAGATACACGGAAGGAGAAGGGGAAAAGGGGCAGCGATTGCTTCCTGCAGCTCAGAGCTGCTCCCTCTGCCGAGCCTTTGGCATGGCTGAATATTTACGAATGGTTTTAGCTCAGATGCCATCAGGTGACGCAGCCCCGCTCGGGTGCCTGCTGGGACTCACAGTTTGTTCAGCTTTCTCGTTATTGTTCTACTTCTAGCCATCGTTTGGATAGTTATTAAGGGTCATAGATATCCTTAATGCCCAGGTTGCCCAAGGAGGCTGTGATGCCCCATCCCTGCAGGCATTCAAGGCCAGGCTGGATGTGGCTCTGGGCAGCCTGGGCTGCTGGTTGGTGACCTGCACACAGCAGGGGTTGGGAACTGGATGAGCGCTGTGCTCCTTTTCAACCCAGGCCGTGCTGTGATTCTATGATCCACTTTGCTACTGCAGCTACAAGGGAAAACAGTCACCCGGTCATTGTGCTTTGGGGCAGCAACAACCTAGAACCTCGATCTATCCCCACATCCAACGGTGAGATGAGATTAAAAACGAATGCACTAATGAATATTCTCAATCTCGCCGCTGACGCCCACAGCTGACGGGAGCTCTGGTTCCAGATCCCCGCCCCCAGCCCTTGCGGGGAGCGCTGCCCTTCGCACCACCCCTCCGCCTCCTCCGCTCCGATTGGCTGCTGCCGCTGCTCGTCAACTCCCGCGACTTCCCCTTTGCTTCCCATTGGCCCAATGAGGAGCGGAACTCCCCCCCGCGGTGGCGGGAAAACGCTCGGTTTTGGCGCCAAAGGAGGTGTGTGGAGAGCGTTGCGATCGGGGCCGGCGTTTGGGGTCGCCGCCGGGGGTCTTTTAGGATCCATTCGGGATCCCGGTTTCCGCCTGTTTGCTACCGCCTCCCGGCACCATGGCAGCCCCGGCGGGCGGGTTGGACGACGCGGAGCTGCGAGAAGCTCAGCGGGATTACCTGGATTTCCTGGACGATGAGGTGAGGAGCGGGGCGTTCTGCGGGCTGCGTCCTGCCCTTGTTAACACCCAGTGCCGGGCATGGCTTCACCACCGAACCCCCAGCCGGAGCCCGTGGCTCTGGGATTGCTTTTTCCCCAGGGAGGAAATGGCTGTGTGAAACTGAGGGTTGTGTTGTCACTGTGCAGGAAGATCAAGGGGTTTATCACGGCAAAGTACGCGACATGATCAGCGACAACCAGAACCGCCTGCTGGTCAACATCAACGACCTGCGAAGGAGGAACGAGAAGAGAGCCAGCCAGTGAGTGGAACCGGGGGGGGGGTGGCAGGGCAGCTGGAGGCCGCTGTGCTATCCAACCCTTCCATGCTTGCGATTGGCAAAACCTGGGTGTTGGGGTCCTTAGAGGGAGCTGCGGTTGTTTGCATGGTATGAGGCGGCTCAGCTTTTAGGGTTCTGGGATCTTTTTGCACGATGAGAGGTGACAGCCTCAACACGGAGGTTTTTTGGGTTGGATTTTGGAAGAATGGTGATGCAGTGGCACAGCAGCCCAGGCAGGGTGGTGGGATCCATCCGTGGAGGTGTTCCAGAACCATGGAGATGTGGCACTGAGGGACACAGTGGGCATGGTGGGGTCAGCTGGGGTTGGACTGGGTGCTTGCAGAGGTATATCACAGAATGGTTGGGTTGGAAGGGACCTCGAGGATCACGAAGCTTCAACCTCCCACCACAGGCAGGGCCACCAACCTCCACATTTCACAGCAGCCCAGGCTGCCCAGGGCCCCATCCAACCTGGCCTTGAACACCTCCAGAGATGGGCAGGGCATCCACAGCCTCTCTAGGCAGCTGTTCCAGCACCTCACCGCTCTCATAGCAAAGAACTTCCCCCTGATATCCAACCTAAACCTTCCCTCCCTCAATTTCAAACCATTTCCTCTTGTCCTACTGCTATCTACCCTTTCAAAGACTTTATTTCCACCCTTAATTTCCTGTTGGTTTTCAGATATAATTGTGCTTGTTCACCATCTGGCTCTTGGTTTCTTTGAGCTGTGGGATTCTTTTTCAATAATACTCCCAATACTCTTTCAGAGTACATGGAAGCATTTGGAAGAGCTTTCTTAGAGCTGCCCGTGGGGATGGCAGAAGGGGTTGCCAGCAAGGTGCAGCTCTCAACCATCACCTCCCTCTGTTGCAGGCTTTTGAACAACGCCTTTGAGGAGCTCATCGCCTTCCAACGTGCTCTGAAGGACTTTGTTGCCTCTGTTGATGCCACCTATGCCAAGCAGTATGAGGACTTCTACATTGGGCTGGAGGGCAGCTTTGGTTCCAAGCACGTCTCGCCACGGACGCTGACTGCCTGCTTCCTGAGCTGCATTGTTTGTGTGGAGGGCATCGTGACTAAGTGTGAGCCTGGGGGCAGGTTGGGGTGCTGGGCAGGGTGAGGAGCAGGGGGTCAGGGTGTTCTGTACAGCAGGAGTCCTCCAGGACCAATGGCAGGACAACTGGAATGAGGGTAACAGGGGACTTGGCGAAAGATTGGAATTTTGGGAACTCTGCAGGCCTTATATCACAGAATCATGGAATGGCCTGGGTTGCAAAGGCCCACAACGCTCATCCAGTTCCAACCCCCTGCTGTGTGCAGGTCACCAACCAGCAGCCCAGGCTGCCCAGAGCCACATCCAGCCTGGCCTTGAATGCCTGCAGGGATGGGGCATCCACAGCCTCCTTGGGCAACCTGTTCCAGTGCCTCACCACCCTCTGGGGGAAAAACTTCCTCCTCATATCCAACCTAAACCTGCCCTGTCTCACTTTCAAACCATTCCCCTTGTCCCATCACCATCCACCCTCATAAACAGCCGTTCCCCCTCCTGTTTATACGCTCACTTCCAGTCCTGGAAGGCCACAATGAGGTCTCCCCGGTGCCTTCTCTTGCCACTCTGGTTGCCAGCACTTGTGTCCTGCACAAGTAGTGGATATCTTTTTGGTGTTTCATGGTGACAAATAGGCAGGCCTTTTCTGCCCCTAACTCTTCTTTCTTCCAAACCCAGGCTCTCTGATTCGTCCTAAGGTTGTCCGGAGTGTCCATTATTGCCCAGCCACCAAGAAGACTATTGAGCGCCGATACACAGACTTGACATCCCTGGATGCTTTCCCTTCCAGCTCTGTCTACCCTACAAAGGTGAGGTGAAGCAGCCTCGTATAGGGGATATCTGCAGGTTCCTCTGAGGAGAACGTGCTGGCTCACAGATCAACCTGATCAGCTGGTGGTTGGCATGCTTGTATGTGGCAAGGGAATTGAAACGAGGTTGTTTTTAGGGTTTCTTCCAACCCAAACCATTCTAGCGTCCCGTGGGTGCTGCCCTGGAGGGTGCATGGACCCTTGTGTGCAGGGATTGCCCCGTGCTTGGGAATGGAGGAAGGCTGAACCTGAGCTGTCTCTGTGCTGCACGTGCATTCTTCTGCACGGCCTGCCTGCGGTTTTTGGAGAGCTCTAATGTAGCAGTGCTGGGTGCTGACAGCACCCATGGGGAGCTGTATTGCTGATGAACCTCAGGATCTGGAAGTCCTGGTAAAGCAATCCTTTGCAGCACTCTTGTGTGTGCCGTGTGATGCTTTCTTCCCATTGCTGCTAATTTCTCTATTGCTTTGCCTTCCTCCTTAAGGATGAGGAGAATAACCCCCTGGAGACAGAGTTTGGCCTCTCAGTCTACAAGGACCATCAGACCATCTCCATCCAGGAGATGCCTGAGAAGGCACCAGCAGGGCAGCTGCCACGCTCAGTGGATGTCATTCTGGATGATGACCTGGTGGACAAAGTGAAGCCTGGAGATCGCATCCAGGTGGTCGGGACGTATCGCTGCCTGCCAGGAAAGAAAGGAGGTTACACATCAGGGACATTCAGGTGAGCCTTCAGTTGGCTTGAAGGACAATGTCAGCCCTGCCACTCCTTTTTAGCAGGGTCCCATTCTGGAAGATGAGATGTAGGGCAGGCTGGATGGGGCTGTGAACAACCTGGTCTGGAGGGAGGGTCTGCCTATAGTAGGAGGTTGGGACTGGGTGATCTTAAAGGTCCCTTCCAACCCAAAACGTCCCACGATTCTATGAATTTCTGCTGTTGTTACGGTGACCCTGAAGGTTCTGTAGGCTTCACAGACCTGATCATGGCTGTGTCACTTTTCCAGGACTATCCTCATTGCCTGCCATATCAAGCAGATGAGCAAAGATGCTCGGCCTCTCTACTCTGCTACTGATGTGGCCAAGATCAAGAGGTTCAGCAGGAGTCACTCTAAGGTATTACGTAGGTCTTATTTCTAAGCTCACCTTCCATGATTTTCCACTTGCTTCCTCTGCATTTTCTACATAGTTTTTGTCAATTTCTATGATGTGTGTGTGTATATACATATATATTTATTACATATATGTAGCTGTAGCAGAGTTTCTTGATGGCTCTGCTGTTGTGCACAGCTGTTGAAATGGAGCTCAGGCTGGGCTGTGTGTGCCCCAACTGCTCGCTGGTTGTCAGAGAAGCTCTGCTGCAAAATTCTACTTTTCCTCATCAAATCTAAGAACAGAATTAGGTGACAGCCTGGATTTCTGAAAGGAAATAAAGCAAAATGCTGGGGGAGGGGATGGGGGTCTGCCCCACTCTGGTCCTGTGTTCAGACCTTTGTTCTTGTGGGCTTTGTTGCTTCCAGTGCTTGTGAAGTGGTCTAGGACACCAGAGCTGCGTTGAATATTCCAACTATCTTTTCCCATCTAAATAATCTTTATTAGTGTAGTTCTGTGATAGGAGTAAGTTCCTTTTTTGGTGCTGAAATGCACTTGTGAAGAATTGCTCCTTGTTCTTCGGGCCACTCACAGGCTGTGCTTTGCTTCTTCTGCCTTAGGATATCTTTGACCAGCTGGCCAGATCCCTGGCACCCAGCATCCACGGGCACGAGTTCATCAAGAAGGCCCTTCTGTGCATGCTGCTTGGAGGGGTGGAGAAGGTCCTGGAGAACGGGAGCCGCATCCGAGGAGACATCAACATCTTGCTGATAGGTGGGATTTTGTCATCTCCAAGGACAGAGGCAGCTGAGGCTGGGCTGTGGGAGTAAGATGAGGCTGTTCAAATGGAATTTCCGTGTTGCCTCTTCTCCTGTCACCATACAAAACCCCGGCTCCGTCTTCTTGCCATCAGGTCGATGGAGAACACAATCCATTCCCCTTTTCTGAAAGCTGAACAAACCCAATTCTTAGTCACTTGTATTCATTTCCCCACTGACGCTGTTTGCTAAATCTTCTCTTTCAGGAGACCCTTCTGTGGCCAAATCCCAGCTGCTGCGCTATGTGCTGAGCACTGCTCCCCGTGCCATTGGCACTACTGGCAGGGGCTCCTCTGGTGTTGGCTTGACTGCTGCTGTCACCACCGACCAAGAAACCGGTAAGGGATGTGCTGGTTCTCAGTGGGAGTTGGTGGAGGGACAGCAGTTAATCCCTGGGATGGACTCTGCAAGGTTCAGGACTGTTTGTCATAGAATCATAGAATGCCCTGGGTTGAAAAGGATCATCCAGTTCCAACCCCCTGCTGTGTGCAGGTCGCCAACCAGCAGCCCAGGCTGCTCAGAGCCACATCCAGCCTGGCCTTGAATGCCTGCAGGGATGGGGCATCCACAGCCTGCTTGGGCAACCTGTTCCAGTGCCTCACCACCCTCTGGCTGAAAAACTTCCTCCCAAAGTGGACATCCCTGAGACTGAGGGCGATGATCCTCCTCCCAGGGATGCTGCTGCAGTGGAAGGAGCCAGCAGGAGATGCTCAGAGCCGTTGAATATCACTGACCTTCTTTTCTCCACCCTCCCCTCTCAGGTGAACGGCGTCTGGAAGCGGGGGCCATGGTGTTGGCTGACAGGGGTGTGGTGTGCATCGATGAGTTTGACAAGATGTCTGACATTGACCGCACGGCCATCCACGAGGTGATGGAGCAGGGCCGTGTCACCATCGCCAAGGCCGGCATCCACGCTCGCCTCAACTCCCGCTGCAGCGTCCTGGCAGCTGCCAACCCTGTCTATGGCCGGGTGAGTGCTAGGGTTTGCTGCTCCCCTCTATGTGGAGGCCTGCTAGGAGCTGTCCTTGGAAATGATAAAATCCAAAGGATCTCCTAGATTTGATTCTTAGTGGAACTGAGGTGTGGGAAGAACTTGGTTTGCTTGGCTACTGCTGCTGCTCGTGGATATCGTGAAGGCTGTGTGTGTCCTGTCCAATGTGGCCTTGAACACTCCCAGGGATGGGGTGTAAAATAGCGTTTACTCCTTCAGCAGGCTGTGCTTAGCACGGTGTCTTTGGTGTTCAGCTGTCTGTGCATTTCCTTGAAGGCCTAGCTTGAAAGGTTCTTTCCACCTTCCCTAGCAACCAGCAGTGACCCATGAGAATCTCTTGTAATCCCTTTCTTCAACCTCTTGTAGTACGACCAATACAAGACGCCCATGGAGAACATTGGACTGCAGGACTCCTTGCTCTCCCGTTTCGACCTGCTCTTCATCATGCTGGACCAGATGGACTCTGAGCAGGACAGGGAGATCTCGGATCACGTCCTGCGAATGCACCGCTATCGCAACCCCAATGAGCAGGATGGGGATGGTGAGTTCCTCTGGCTGTCTAGAAAGCTCAGGAGTTACAGGTTTTCTTTGGCTGTAGTTGCTTTCCTTTCCCTTGGAGCAAGAAGGGTAAAGCCCCTGGCCTGGACCTCATGGCAGGGGGGGTTGAAACTAGATGATTGTTATGGTTCTTTTCAACCCAGGACGTTCTATGATTTCCTTGTCCTCAGTGGGACCTTGAACACTGCTGAACTGTAAAGCATAGAGCATCCATCTCTCCTCTGTAGCTGGTGCCCATCTGTCCTGGGCAGCTGTGGTTGAGGTGATGGGGAAGTAGGTAGGGGTGGGCTCCTTGCACTGTGACACAGCTCCAGACTTCCCAGGTTGTCACTTGTTAGCGGCTCTTTGGGTTCAGTTGTCCATGGCTTTGCTGAGTGCTGCCAGCAGGTGGCTGTGAGAAGCTAAAATCCTGTTCTTGGCAACCTTCCCCTCTCCAGCCATGCCCCTGGGCAGCGCCGTGGAGATCCTGGCTACGGATGACCCTGATTTTGCACAGGAGGAGGAACAGGAGCTCCAAGTGTATGAGAAACACGATGAGCTCCTGCATGGGCCCAACCGCCGCAGGTGAGTCTCCTGTCCCTTGTGCCATGTAACTCTCTGGGGGTTTCCACGGTGATGAGCTGATGCTAAAATGCTCTGGATTTGGCTGGAGCATCAGGGTGCTGGCTCATTGCTGCCGACAGTGATGCTGTAGATTGTCCACAGCGAGGTGTGTAAGTGGGATGCAAAGGGAGCCTGCTTTGGGTATGCTGTTCTCAAATGCCAGGCAGGTGGGAGAATATCTGGAGCACAATTCTGGATGCCCCTAAGAGTAGCACTCTCCCTGAGTGCAGCCTGCACGTGCCCTCTGCTTGTCCCCTGTGCTCCCCTCAAGGACACGGGCATGTGTGCATCCCCTGCAGGGAGAAGATCGTCAGCATGGAGTTCATGAGGAAGTACATCCACGTGGCAAAAATGATCAAGCCTGTCTTGACCCAGGAATCAGCAGATTACATAGCAGAGGAATACTCACGCCTGCGCAGCCAGAACCAGATGAACTCGGACATTGCCAGGGTGAGCTCCATCTTCTCTCTAATCACACCAGGAGGAAAACCGAGGTATACGGTCCTCTTTAACATTACAGGTGCTTTCCTCCCTCAATCAGAGTGGTTGAGGTTGGAAAGGAGCTGTGGATGTGAGCTCTTGGTGTTGCAGCAAAGTGGGGTGAACCACATGCTGATGTGATGCTACAGTGGGGGTCCAGCACGGTCTCATGGGCTGTGGTGTCTCACCACCATCTTGCTCCTTTGCAGACCTCCCCAGTCACAGCCCGTACCCTGGAGACATTGATCCGCCTCTCCACGGCCCATGCTAAGGCCAGGATGAACAAGACTATTGATCTGCAGGATGCAGAGGCAGCTTTGGAGCTGGTGCAGTTTGCCTACTTCAAAAAGGTGGGGGAAAGGAGGTGGGGTCCCAAAGGTTTCATTGAAAGGATCAGGCTCTGTTGAGGCACTAAAGTATCACTGGGAAGCTTTGGCAGTGCAGAATAAGAGGTGTTGTAGGAGGTTGCTGAGCCCCTCAGCTCACAGCAGGTGTGTGCGGATGAAGCTGGGGGGGGATGGGTTGTGTGCAGTGGCAGGTTTGCTTTGGGAGCCAACAGGAGTGGTGCTCTGGGAGGGGGCAGAGAGGTGGGGCACCTGCCTGTCTTGAAATCAGGCCAAGTCCTGCTTGCTGGTCTTCATAGAATCATAGCATGGGCTGGGTTGAAAAGGACTTCAAAGGTCATCTAATTTCAAACCCCTGCTATGTGCAGGGTCATCAACCACCAGACCAGGCTGCCCAGAGCCACATCCAACCTGGCCTTTAATGCAATGTCTTGTGCAGGTGCTGGAAAAGGAGAAGAAGCGCAAAAAGCAGGTGGAGGATGACTCGGAGACGGAGAAGGAGGAGGAGGAGACGCAGCCTGAGAAGGAGGGCAGGAAGCAAAGGTAGTCATGGCAGGCCTCGGGAAGGTCCTTGTGTTAAATCCAGTGGGTCTCCTGGACAACACTTGTAATGCTGGAGCCTCTGGGCTCCCACATTTCAGGTTTTGTGGCCAAGTGGTGGTGGATGAGATCTGGGCTTACCCACAAGCTGCAGCTGCCCTGCCTTCTATTGGCCAGATACTTTCAGGAGCCCTGGGGATGTCTCCTGAGGTCTATTCTTTGGTGGATCAGAGCTGACCTCTTCTTCCCCCACACAGGAGGAAGAAAGCACGCACAGAAGGCGAGGAGGAATCCTACGACCCCTATGACTTCAGTGACACTGAGCAGGAGATGCCAGAGGGTGAGTCAGGGGTTTCACTGTCATCACCTAATAATTCGGCATCACCCATGCCATCCAAACAGGCCACCTGCTTTTGTGTGTGCTCCCTGGCTCTTTGAGGAAGCAGGCTGAAGCAACTTCTCCTCCTCTTCCAGTCCAGGCACATACTCCCAAGACACCTGAAGCCTCGACTACTGGGGAAGCAAAGAAGCCAGAGTTGTCCGACCCACGGTGAGTGGGGGCTGGAAAAGCAGCAGGAGGATGTTTGTCCTTCCCTGCTCCATAGTGACCCATAGAGCTCAATAGTGATCCAGTAAGAACTCCTTACGGAACCCCATAGAGCTCCATAGTGACCCTATAACATTTCATTTATGACCCCATAGCATTTTATAGTGATTACACAAAGATACATTCTGGAACGTTCATAGTTGAATTATGACCCCTTAAGCGTTCTATAGTGACCCCATAAAACTTCCATGCTTACAAAAAAATAGGTCCATTATGACCATAAGAACTCCATATTGAGCCCACAAAAGTTCTATTATGACCCCATAGAGTTCCAGAGTAATTCCTGAGCTGTTCCATTGTGACCCCATAATAGTTCCCTTGTGACCACATAGAGCTTCTTAGGGACTTCAGAACAGTTCCATAGACAGCGCATGGAGTTCCGTAGTGACCCCATAGAGCTGCCTGGTGACCCCATAATAGTCCCTTGTGACGCCATGGAGCTTCTTAGGGACCTGAGAACAGTTCGATTATGACCCCATGGAGTTCCATAGTGACCCTATACAGCTGCCTAGTGACCCGAAAACAGTTCCATTATGACCCCATGGAGCTCCATAGTAATCCTTGAGCTGTTGCATTTTGACCCCATAACAATTCCCTTGTGACCCCATAGAGTTTCTTAGGGACTTTGGAAGAGTTCCATAGACACCCCATGGAGATCCATAGTTACCCCATACGCTGCCTAGTGAGCCCATAATAGTTCCCTTGTGACCCCCTGGAGCTCCTTGGGTTCCACATAACAGATGTATTACGACCTCAAAGAGCTCCATAGTGATCCCATGAAAGTTCCACTATGACCCCATGGAGCTCCATGGTGATCCCA